TGTTTTACTCCTTTCTGTGCAACAATTCGTTTGGGATTTTGAACTGTTTGGGTGCCAGTTTCATCTAAATTGTAAATACGGGAGCCATCTGCCAAACTAGGGTATTTCTTTAAAATTTTTTGCAAATTATCAAAAAATATTTTAACGTTATGTGGATTAAAAGAAGTTAGACGTGACAAGCTACATGCTTCTGGTTTGCGAATGGAAATATCATTATTTCTTTTCATAAAGGATCTACGCCATTCTTCACCAGCCATTTTATTTTTTTCCCACGAGAGAGGGATATTAAAATCATTTTTGATTGCGAGCTCATAAGCAAGCTTTCTAGTATTCTCTACAGTCAATCCATAAGCCATTTTACTGCAAGTGATTAGATATTCTGCAAAAATTCTTTCTTGTTCTGGCTTAAATATTTGTCTATGCCGATAATTTGGTTCCATAACAGCATCAGGCTTATCTCGCTTCTTTTTAACATATCTGGCTAACGTTTGAAATTTTATATTACAGCGGTCAGCAGCAACTCTCAGTGATAAGTTTTCATTACAAACTAAATTTACAGCGTGTTCCATGGTTTCAGCACTTGTATTGCCAATTTTTCTTGGTTTAGGTTTCCGCGGCATCTATAACAAATTTATCTCTTGAAACACCATAAATTTAGTACAACAATGAAAATTTTTACATATTGATTTATGCGCAATTATACTATGGTACTAACTGAGACTGTCTCACTTTGTACCAGATATATTGTCTCACTTAGTACATTCTAACATCACATAATGAATGCCCTCAAAACCAATATATCTATTTCAATATTAATGTCTATGATCATTGAGAAAGTGAGGTTAGTAACTAAATACTATAAATGTTACATGATATCATCAATATTTTACGAAACAAATGTTACATACCATAATATATAGATACAATAAAGTAACTAACTTACCTTAAAATTAGTTTTTAATCAAAAACACCACTAAAATCAACCAAAACAATCGAAAAATTCGTAGAGGGCTTTGCTATCTGAATGTTAACAACTCACTGACAGTTGAAATAATTTAGCGGAAAATTTAAAAAGTTATTCTTGTTGTCTCAGTTAGTACTCCGTCTCACTTAGTACTACCCTCCCCTACAGCATAATGTATCTAAAAAACGGTATGGAGAATTTTAAAAGAACAACAGTTACATCCCTATTACGTACAAAAAGTTCAGTTATTGCTGTATCAAGACTGTCAACGTAGACAGAATTTTTGCAACTGGTCTGTGGAAAAAATAAGGCAAAACCCAAACTTTTTACGTTTCGTATTAGGCACATATGAAGCAGGATTTACTAGATATACGCACAATATCCACGTCTTGTCGGATGAAAATCCTCATGCTACTAAGCCTCTACATTTTCAAGAAAGGTTTTCTCTTAATGTGTGGGCTGACATATAGTAGATCGGCAGTTAATTGGATCTTATTTTATGCACGGTCGATTAGATGGTCACTACCACTAAAAAGTTAGGTTTCTTTCAACCTTCATGACAACAATGTAAACCTTTTCTAATTAAATTTTATAATTTTAAAAAGTTACATTAAACAAAATTGTTGCGCTCCCAGATTATTTTCGCTGTGATAGTACCTTAACCTGCCTCGTGCATTTTTTTGTTTATCTATTATTTACTTATTCATACTTCTTGATTTACCTCAGTGGCGGGTAACTAAAAAATAAAAAAAAAAATCTTGAATACTAAGGCGATTAGAAAAAAACTTATCTGACAAAAGTTGTTTGTTTCCATGAGATAAATACGTGGTTAAAATTATAGTACTTTTTTTGGGACACCCTGTATATATAAAACAAATCGTAGATTCCTTTTAACGTTTTCTTTAATAGGTATTTTTTTTTTGAGATATCACTCCCTTTATCTCCCTTTCGGGGTAAATACAAGTACGTTGTAAATCAGGTAAATGAAATTTTCATCCCATTTTTAACATTTTTTAAATTCCAGCCCCCACTTCCGAATTATGACGCTTCAGGACAAAAATTTATCAGTCCACTAAGAAACAAAAAATTTGTCAAAAAATTTGTCAAAAAATTTGTCAAAAAATTTGTCAAAAAATTTGTCAAAAAATTTAAGTTTTGGGGGTAAATGTAAAAAAAATCGTAGATTTAAAATATTTTATATAAAAAGTTCTAACTTAATTTCTTGGGGATGTAAACCCTTACATCTCCCTCTAGGGGAGAGTGGGAGTAATATAAGTACGTTGTTAATCAAGTTTATTGTAACCAAAATTGTGATTTTATCTCATCTGTAACGATTTTTAAAGGCCAGCTCCCACCTTAGCGGTTAAGTGCCAACTGAGCGCATCTCCGGGTGGTGGATAGGAGAACGTCCAAGATTTCCTTGGTTAGTGGTAGACATAGAGTGCGAGAGTTTAAAAATTATTAAAATCTATTGCAAAGGCGCGCCGCGAACCAACTACCCCAATCTAAAGTGTAAGGTAACGTGCCGACGGATAAATTGTCATGGGGGAAGATGCCGCAGCAAACGCTCCCCCAAAAGTACCTAGTGAGACCCTCATGTATCTAGCCTTGCTGGCGCATGTAAAGCTGCGTCGGTCGACCTTTTCTTCATTAGATACTCGTGGGAACCCTACAAAAATCCAACGTCAACGCTCACCTCCAAGGAGGTTGGACAACAAAGTTCAACTCCTGCGCAGGCTAGACAGCGACGTCCACCTCCAAAAAAAAGGACGGACATCGATTACTTCACCTAAAACTGACACATCCGAGAAGCAAGAGGATCTCTGGTTCTGAAGCAAAGAGGAGAAAGAGGGTTAATCTGCAGGCAGGCAGAGCTACGACAACTGCCACCCTCAGCAAACGCCCTCACTCCAAACCAAACACAAGCGGCTTAATCAAGTCCTTAGGCAGAGATGCTAGTTCTGCTTCTACAAGAGTCCAGGAACACGACGCAACTAGGGACAAGAAACATCCGCGATCTGACACCTCTTCCGAGGAAACGCCCCGGAAAGGGAAAAAACCGAGGCAGGACCACCAAATTCTGTTTGGGATAGGTACAAGGATGCAGCCACAAGCCACCTGAAAGTAGCTATCATAGACAAGGATGACCCTTACGGTAAGATAACTACCGAACTAGAGATCCTTGTCAAAGTAACACAGATGGAAGAGCTGGGCAAAACAATTTTGTCTGCCTCTAGGTCTTGGACGCACTCTGGTAAAATCATCAGAGTAACATGCGATGATGACCTGACGTTGGAATTGCTAAAAACCCAGGTAGGGTTCAATTAAAATTAGAAGAACACCGTCATAACGAATACATACTATCTATAACTATCAATAAACAAAAAATAAGTAAGTTGTTACGTATAAAACAATATTTCCTATATTCCTAGACTAGAATATACACTCCACTAAACCCCCAGTAGGCGGCGATAATCAATTAAATATTTTGCCAAATGATGACGTAGCTGTGTTCTTCTAGTTGTAATCGGACCCTATCAACCTTAAAAACGAAAAACTTGCTGTTGTAAGGGTGGAAAAGCTTCCCAAAGCCTCTCTTTAGACCCCAGGGGATGTGGGCTTTGATGAGAAGGAAGTTGTGCTGAGGTGACATGAAGGGTAAATTGCCAACTTACTTGTGGCGAAATAGTGCACTTTCCACCATGAAATCCAAAGGGACGCCAAGGCCCATCTCCGCGTCTTCGGCATATATTAAGATGAATCAAAGGTCACGCCATATCGAAAGGTAGCCGTCTTGCTGATTCACTTGCTAAGAAGGCAGCCATTAAAATACTTTTTGGATCTGGCCCTTCCAATGGTCTGACAACATCATCGATAGTGGCAAACCTAATTAAAGGACATTCTCTTCTAAAATGTCAGGAAAGATAGAATGAAACAAGAAGACGCAGAGTTGCCAGGGATATTCCAAGTTATCCTACCCTACAGCAAACAAAAATACCAAACAACAACTTGACTATGACTAGACATTCTGCGTTCGATCACAGGCATTCTGACTGTTCATTGCCAAATACGAAAGCATCTCCATATTATGGGACGGTCAGAGTCCGCACTGCAAACAAGAACATGAGACCACCAAGCATATCCTTTGTCCGACGTTTTTATTTGTGTTCGGCGAGTATCGGCCGATATAAGAGAAGCACCTTTCGGCGACGTTGTCAACTACATAAAATCGGTAGGCTAGCTCACGAGCTAGGAGGTGCCTATCATCTGAGGAGGATGTACAATGGCCTAGTGAGACCTAAATTCGGCGGGGTAACCCACCCTCCACACGTTACAGGTACAGACAGATGCCAGCTCCCCTATCTAAACAATGATCGTTTAGGTCAAAAATGTTTCTAAATAAAAAAATGGTGGATTTTTATGTAGAAAAAATCGTAGGTTTAAACCGTTTTATTGAAAAAAATTGTAACTTCAGTTTTTGAGAGTGACAACCCCTCCCTAAAGAGTGAAATGAAGGTATTTTCATGTTATTTTCCAATATGTGGGAAAATACAACCATATACCAAGTAAATATCTCGACCCGAACTGTCCTAGCCCCAAGAGTTGAGCCACAACTTTAAATGATTGTGAATCAAATAGTATACAAACCTTGGCGGACATTATGATTCCTGTATCGGTCTAAAGATCACCCCAGTGCAAGCGTCTCTGTGGCCCTCGATATTATCGATGCATTTCCCGCCTCGGTATGTAATCTACTGTTAATTGTTTATAAAATACTAATCAGTTGAATATTATAAAATTTTTGCTGTGCATAGCAAAATTTCAAAATACATGAATAAAGTAATATTTTCTGTGTATTCAGATTTTTGATACTCATATTTTTTACATAATTAAATCATCCAACATAGGTAAATGAAAAACTTAAAAAAAATAAAACCTAATCTGAGAATTTATCTAAAGTTCCTATTATTTTTTTTTCAATTACATCACACTTGATAATGCCAAAATTAAATTTAAATAAAAATTATTGACTTGCCCATAATTTTGGTGACTAAAATTAGCATTTAAGTCGATCGGCTTCAATAGAAAATCAGAAGTGGGATCTTTCATTTTGCTTTCAACTAAACCAGTTTTATAAGACAATCCCATCTTAGACAGAGCTTTGAACAAATCCGCTAACGCTCTGTGCTTTTGTTGCAAGATATTTTTGGCTTGAGATTTTTGTTTTTCTTTTGTTAGAGTTGTATCAACCTAAAATCGAAAGAAAAAACAGAAATGCAGGTAAATAAGGTAAATTATATTATTTTGTTGATTATATTCCTTACCTCCAATTTTTGCAAATGTGTGCTTGTTTCAATGACATCGCTTATGAAAGAATCTAATTCTTTAACTTTATTGTGATACGGCGAAGACGCCATTATATCTTTAAATGTGTTTCTTACTTCAAGAAGACCCTTGCTCAACGACCTCGTTAATTTGTCTTTGGGTAATTGCCCTTCAATATTCTGTAAGTTAAGTAAATATATACAATAATTTTACATTTGTAAACAAGAAATACCGATAATATACAAAAATTAATGGAGCACCAGTAGATAAGTGAAGCAAAATACAGGAACAAATGATTCAAGAGAAAAAAAGAAATTAAACAATATAAAAAAAAGATAGGCATTATCAGTCACCTTTTTAGTTTCCACGAATTTAGAAAAACCACGAAAATAATACGATTTTATCTTAAATCGGTTTGTTAAGTGGTTTTGCCTGAAATAAAGGCGTTTGAATATGGAAACTTAAAATTTATTAAATAAAATTTGAAAGGACGAGGGGCATTTCAAATTTTTAAAATAATTTTGCATGAAAAAGACAATAAACATATTTGAAAGTTATGACTTCCGAAGCTTTCACTCTTTACCGCCGACATCATTTCCTTTTTTTTTATAATTCTTATAGCATTCTGTACACCGGCGACGCACTTTCTTGCCTTTCTTTTTATTTTTTATGAAGTACTGTTTAGGTTCTGGAGGGGCATTTCGCCTTCTTAATTGTGCAACTTCAGTTGGGTCTTCAGCATGATTTCTTTTAAGCTTTGGAGCGATTACTTCTACCCTAAACTTCGTGAAGGTTCTCTTTTTTGTTGTGGATTCATTATATAAGAAATGTGCATTTACTAAACTTGTCCCCTAAATAACTTTAAATGAAAGTTTACGGCACCATTTTGTACAACGTCCTATAACTGATCCATTTGTTGTCATCGGATTTCTTAGATTAACTGATGATTTGCCATGATTGTACTCAGAAATTCATTCCGGTTTTACTATGGGTACATTTCATCTGATATTACTGAGGGGTCGTTTTTAGTCCAGATGTTTTGGTAGGAAGCATTTCGACATCTCGCTTATCTCGCCATTTGGTAACAACAATTCTATAGTTTGTTGCATAACGAACGTTTGGCATTTGTCGTTCTTCGGTACATACTTTCGATTTGCTCTAAACGTCCCCTCAAAATGAGTATTTCTGCGCCTCAAACGTTAGGCGAGTGGTACACTAGTATAATAATTATCTATGTACATAGTTCATTTTTCCTGTCCAATAAAACTTCTGCCAATGTCATGACAGTTTTTTTCAGGAATCTGAGTTACAGGATTCCATGATTTACTGAAATAAACCATCATCTTTCAAGTATACCATTTGTTTGTACAGTTTGATGCCATATTTGGCTGCTTTTTTTGAAATGTCCATCCGAAATATCATTCTTCCGCGTCAATGCACTAAATACTCATCCACGCAGATCTTCTCGCCGAGATGTATGTGTTCTGATAATTATTAATGAATTTATTTATCAGCAGTAAAATTATCGGAAAATTGTATATATTTCAAAACAAGCTCGAAGAGGTTTCTGGAAATTGCTGTTTAAGCTAAGGGAATGCTGTAAAATTTATATGTCCACCAATAAGCTTTTATTACCAGTAACTTTACTATGCCCATCTAACCAACAAGAGCCAGAAACCTAGCAAAGCGACAACGTTGGCAAAGTTGACTTTGCGCCATTATTTGGAAAGTTAAATACTTGCGAATTCGCAACGCCAGATTCAGGACTCATTGCAATCCCTAGTGTCAAATAATACAAGTTTTTATTATCACAAGAGTAAAAACTACCATTTCTGTTAGCTATCGACACATAGCACTATCTGTAAGCAAAAGTTGAACAAAAGTATTGTCTGACTACGTATCGCAAAGATTTCTTTTAGGTAAAACTTCCCTGACTTCATTCAAATTTTCCTCCGCCTGATGTACATTCTCCATAGTTTGCTCCAACAACAATATTTGATTGAAATCCATCGATATAAAATGAAATACAGACGACATAAACACTATGTTGCAAATGACAAATGAACGCACTTTGAGTGATGGAAAAGTTTATTCAAAATGGCGACTTAGAGTCGTACTTTGATTTATTTAAATTGCAGATTGATGGAATTAAAATATTTTTTTCAAATTTTGACATATAAAATGATATTTTTTGTGTCAACATGATCTACTTAACGCAACCAGTTGTATAATGTTGAACATTATGAAACTGGTTAATTCATTACGTCACCAGTTGCGAAAACAAAACAAATAATAATAATCCTTTTTTGGTTTTAAAATCAATCGCTCTGCTCGTCCCGCAAATATTGACTCGTTACATAAAATAATGCATTTCGCAAATAGTTTCATAAATAACTATTATATCATTTTTGAACGGGTTATATTGTCGTTAGTCAACACGGTATACAGTATTTTGTGTTACAGTCCTTGTATTTGTTGAGCCTCAGTTTCCGTACACGGTTCAGACAACTCCACCGTTTCTACCATCTCTATCGTGCAAGTTAACTGTGGAGCCATATTTTGGTTATTACAAATTTGCAAAGTTAGAGACATCTATTGTAGTGGATGCATCAGTTTAGAAAATGTTTGATCCGTTGATGTTCTGGCGGGTGCGCTTTAATCTAAGAACATCTAGAAGACACTTGTGTTTTGCTGTTGGAGTAGTCAGTTTTAGTCAAGAGATCGTTCTGTTCAGATTAATATTGTCAATATAAGTTAGTGTATGAGTATAAGGAGATATAAATTAGTGATGTATTGAGTACAAATTATTGTCTGTGTAAATAAATTTAATAATAAACTGATTAAATACCAAAAGTTAGAATATTATGAATTTGCTGTCGTTTTGTTAACTTCTTAAATTCGCAACTTTTTTTTGCTTTTAATGACAACTCTATCATTTACGATTTCTAATATAATTCGAGAAAAAAGTACTACCCTGTATATGCCAGATAATTTTAAGTAACTCACCTGTATTAAATTAGTATCATACAGATAATTTTGATGCTCTATTGATTCGTCTATATAATACACAATTTTGTTTTCTTTCTGTGGTTTGTCCCATATACCGACATCACTACTACTTCCAAGGTCACCGGTATTATGTAGACACGGCAAAACGGGCTGATCCAAAGCATCTTGATACTCTCTCATAAACTTGTGCAATGTTTTGTGTGATTTTTCAACGGTATCTTTTATCGCCCAATAGTTGATGTCCTTCCATCTCACTATTTTGACATAGTCCTTTAGTTTCTTTTCTATGGGCAATCTCAGATCCTTAAAGCAAAAAAATATATTAACATATTTTTTAAAAAATCGGGTATTTTTGAAGAAACTTAAGAGGAAAATTTACATTACAAACTGAAAGACCTGCGGGGCAACGGTAGTTTAGTAGGTATAAAAATTACAACTTAAGGGTGGAGCCTAAATACTACAAAATTACTTCCGAGACTAAACAAAATCGCATTCATTCATAATTTTAACAATTGCATGTAGATACGAGGGATACGTATTCCAAACTCTAACGCGTGTAGTTGAGACAAAGGAACCGAAAAATCCTTGAGTGAGTCAGAGTTACCTAAATTAGGGGAACGAAAATCGTATTTGTTTTTCTTGGTGCATTGCGAGATATTGTTATAACGCAGTTCGATTTTTTAGAGGGTTTTACATTATTTTTATATTTTAATTTAGTGAATAGGTTTAGTTAGATTAAATTACATTTAGGAGTAAAGAGTTGTGAAATATAAATACAAATAACGAAAAAATAGACGATTGGTTCGAATAAGGTAATATCAATTAATACAGGGTATTTATTAATTGAATGCCGATACTTAAGGGTGTGAATCCTTGGGTGTTAAAGTTTTAAGAAAAAAATAACTATTTTATCACTCTAGATATTTTTATAAAATTTTGCCCCAAAAAAAAGTGTTTCCACTCATGGTGGGTTTCTACCAAATTTCAACAAAATATCAAAAGCAGTTTCAATAAACTGGTTTTTATTTTCTTACGCGAAAAGGGTGCGTCGTACGAAAGTACGTCTATAAACCAAATTTGTTCCAAAATAAATAAGGATTTTAAAGATTATTTTGGTTTTTAGAAAAAGCAGTGGCGTACCATATTTTTGTTCAAAAATATTCAGTTCAAACCCGGTACGGACGTCACTAGTAAAAATTTAGAAGTCTTTTACGACAAAAAGGCGGGATTGAAAGTGAAAGTTTAGTCTGTTGGTACATAATATACTATATTTATATATCTAATTATTATTATTACACTGAATGTGACATGGCTTTTTTGTTTGCCTTTTTTGGATCAACAAAATATTATTTTAATGATTTAAAATAAATTGTCAGTAATAATAATTATCTGTACTTAAACATATATACAAAGTAAACTCATAAAACGACGCATCAAGAAAACACCAAGTTATTAAACTTTTAATTTACGTAACATGTATTAAAAGTAATTTTAAAAAACCGACTTTAAAATCGCGCAGATGCCATTACCACATCTTAACCAAATTTATATGGGATCACCCCTGAGGTACCCCCTTACTAACGAAAAGAATTATAGAAATCGGACAAGGTGGTAAAGAATTATCGCTAAAAATACATAAAAAATGAAAAGTTTGAGGATTTTCTCATAGACCCAATTATTAGATTTTGACCAAATTTATATGGGACCATCCCGGAAGTACCTCCTTTTCAGCAAAAAAGAAATATTTTAAATCGGACATTGTGTTATTATCGCTGAACATACATAAAAAAAATATATACAGACGAATTGAGAACCTCCTCTTTTTTGAAGTAGGTTAAAAAGGATATAATAATCTATATTAATTGTATTAACTAAAAAACTACTATGTAGAATTATATATATCTTGTTAAATTAATCCTATATGTAAAAATGTGGGTTGGGTTCCTAGAAAAGTACCTACCTAGTTCACTGTGCAGCCAAATTTATATTTATGATACAGAATTTTTTTAATAAATAAAGTTTTAGGTTTAATTAAACACCAAGTTTTATCAGGAATAACATTTTCTGAAAAAAGTAACATATAAAAAGCAAACTTTTTGTGAGCCACTATATATATTTTAGAGGAAAATCCATATTATTTTAGAAAAATAAATAAAATTTTTGTTTCTTAAGAGGAGTATTGACTGTACTTGACTGTAAAGCGGAGCATGCAAGGATTTCGTAGTATCCCACTTTTAAAGTTTATTTTTGACTCATTCTGAAAGAAAAAAATATGTGCGTGTAGGTAAAGAATAAATCTATGCTCCTCTGGAGACACTTGTTTAAAATTTGAAATTGTTTTTTCTAAAAAAAATACAAAGCTCGACTATTTTTACCCATTTTTTCAATTATTTTTTTAGAAAAAACTAAATTGAATTTTGAAAAAGTGGTTCCAGAGGAGCATAGATTTAACCTATACCTACACGTAATGTGATTTATCTTTTAGAATATTGTACATGTTTGTCAAAGTTTACTAATTTAAAAAAAAAAACAAATATTCTTCAAAACTTTTCTTACATTTTTTAAAACGGTACAAAATACCTTAATCCGTTTATAGTTATCGATTTTAAACAAGAAGGAGACCAGACATCGTCGAAGAGAAAGAGTGAAATGAGTAAAGAATTTTAACTTGATTAAAAAGCGTTCTTTCTCTTTCCATTTCTTATAAAAACTAATAGACCTTTTTGAAATCGGTATTCGGTGACTTTTCTTCTGTTTTATTGTCTTGAAAATGATATGATTTACATAAAAAACAAAAACTGACTTATTATTTTTGTGAAATAAAAATATCCGAATCAAAATCTTGAAATTATTATTTGGGGACTTAAAAGAGTGGTCCACTAATTGGTGTAGCCTTTTAAAACATTTGTTATATTAATAATTATATATCATCAATTACCACTTCCACTGGTAAAATCCTAAATTTAAAATAGTGTATTATGATAATAAGACATTAATCATATCTTAAATAGATCGCCTACTACCATGTTTCAGAAATAAATAAAATGTAATTCTTAAAGCAATAAAAATATTCAACATTAAACAAATTTTCTCACGAATTATTTAGTATTCTGTCCTGTACTTCCATGTCTCTACTAGCTTCGCTGTCAACAAGTTCTGACAAGGCATATTGCATATAAAAAATTTTAATTTTATTTTGTATCTTTTCTTCCTAAAAGCTGTCATTATGAGATATTTTTCCATTTTTATTCCTACAGAAGTCCAAAAGCACTATAGAGCACAAAATGCAAAAATCCATTTGTGTTATGTGCAGCTAGCCCTGAATTTGAAAATACCAATAGTGGTTCTCCTTAATGGTATTGTCCTTTTTGCAAAAAGTTATTTCTCTACTCAGTCAGCACTTCAGCTCCATATGGTCATTTTAACTCTTTTCATAGTGTTTTGTTTTTTTTTTTAATTCCATCCAGACTGGCAGCAACATAATCAAATTCGAATTCAATAAAATGTCCACATTTAAAAACTTTTACTTGCAAATAAATTTCCAAATCTTATTTTGCTCTGAATTTATGGTCCATGTCATATCGGGTGGCTTTAGAAATAAATAAAAGATTTTAGGAGATTTTTTACAAATTTCACTAAATTTTAAAGCAGTGACTCGTCACAATCATTTTTTTCTCATTTATAGACATTGGTTAACTCTTCAGAAAATTTTATCTTGCAGCACGCCTCAAAGGGTGCGACAGATCAAAGCCATGCGCGAAAGCAAGAAAAAATATTTACATTACTTTAACGGATTGAAGAGATATTAACATGCTGGAATAATTAATTATTGTTGACTTGAAGAGGTATTCATTAAACAAAAACATATTTATAATTCATATCTCAGTGTATATCTTCCAATTTCGGATATATATTTTTTAATATACAAATGATAAAATTAATTTAATGTAATTGAGCAAAATTACTGTATGTAAAAAATAACATGAATTCAAATCACATATGTACTGTTTATCACTAAATAGTAGAAAAAAAAAAAAAGATATATTTTGTTGGTGTCACGCTCTAGACGAAAAAGCTTTTAACGTATTTCTATTTTTATTGTTATAAAAATAAATGCTCCTGTAGGCAAAAATTAAATATATGGTTCTCTTCTAGCTTTTTTTGACATTTCCATTTCTTTTCGCTTCTTTTCTTAGATTTTTTTCAAAAGAGACTGATTCATATTTTTAAAGTGACCCCAGAGAGGTATGGGTTAAGCCTTTACCTGTACTTACATAAAATTTCTTTTAGTAAAATTAAAAAATAATCCGTAAAATTGGTCTACTATGAAACCCTTGCATATAATATATATACCAATCTTAGTATTGCAGAAATAAATTACGTAAAAAATAAGGTGTAAAATATGTAAAATTTATTCATCCCTCGTAAAATATCAGTAAAATATATTATAAATTGTTTTCATTCACAAATATTAATTTCTTGAAAATCTAACAGAGGCGCCACTTTCCAGACGAAAAATCTAGCAATGTAAGGGTTTCGTAGTACCCCACTTTTAAAGTTTATTTTTGACTATTTTTAAAAGAAAAAAATATGTACGTGTAGGTAAAGGTTAGATCTATGCTCCTCTGGAACCACTTTTTCAAAATTCAGTTTAGTTTTTTCTAAAAAAAATTGAGAAAATGGGTAAATATAGTCGAGCTTTGTATTTTTTTTTTAGAAAAAACAGTTTCAAATTTTAAAAAAGTGTCTCCAGAGGAGCATAGATTTATCCTTTACCTACACGCACATATTTTTTTCTTTCAGAATAAGTCAAAAATAAACTTTAAAAGTGGGGTACTACGAAACCCTTGCATGCTCCGTTTTACAGCCAAGTAAATACTCCTCTTAAGCATTAATTTTTCCTGGGTTGCTTTTTCCAATAATCACGAAATGGGAAATGGGTTAAATTTCATTCAAGAAATACGCTCTAAAATGTTTATGTGACTGTCATTCAGGCTAAGTATTCAACAAATTTTAGTACTTTATATTGATATATAACACTGTTAATACAAAGGGCGTTGGGAAATAAAGGGTGTATCTTATAGTGGTACTCGATGTTTTTTTCAAATAACTTGACAACCAGGTTACAGATCGCCATGTTTGTTAATGTTTTAGAAACGTTAGTCTAGTACAATTTTAACAATGAACCACCTTATACCACAACAACTTGCTGAAATTGTAAAAATTTATTTTCAAAAAAACTCCTCTGTTACGCTAACTCAGCGCGCGTTCAGAGCGATACCTCGGCCAGAATGCGCCTACCCCGAAGACTATTCGTGCTTTGGTTGCAAAATTTAATGCCACAGGATCTTTGGCAACCTCTGTCCGTCGGAATAAGCTGCGTACCAGACGAAGTTTGGAAGCAATAGCAGCCGTAAGTGCCGACGTCGCGGAGCGTCAACAAGTTTCGGTCCGACACCGTGCTCAGCAGTTTGGCATGTTCCCCACGTCCATGTGGCGGTTGTTAAGGGTGGATTGGCGCGCCTTTCCATACAAAATGCAGACCGCTCAACAATTATTGCCAATTGATAAGCCGCGTCGCATCCAATACAGTTGCAATATGCAGGGCGTCCTTGCCGGTCAACCTGATTTTTGGAGCTATTTGATCATGACCAATGAAGCACATTTCACGCTGTGTGGCATTGTTAATAAGCAAAATACCCACTTATGGGGCATTGAAAATCCTTAAATGATCTTCGAAGAGCCGTTGCATTCCCCCAAAGTCACTGTTTGCTGCGATGTTTATGTTGAAAGAGTCATCGGCCCGTACTTTTTCGAAGACGATAACGCCACCATGGTAACACTCAACGGCGAGCGATATCGGGCCATGTTACGCGATTTTGTGGTAAATGAGGTGGACGAACATGACATGGGCAATTATTGGTTCCAGCATAACGACGCAACATGCCATACAGCAATGGATTTATTGCATGCCATGTTCCCGAATCGATTGATATCGAAATACGGCGATTTCGACTGGCCGGATCATTTACCAGCTTTGACTGCACCTGACTTTTTCCTGTGGGGATACCCGAAGGGAAAGGTTTATGTCGATAAACCAGCCACTCTCCAACAACTTAAGGCCAACATATGCCGAGAAATCGCTGCCATTCAGAAACACTCCAAAAAGTGATGGAAAATGCCGAAAATCGGGCCGATTTGTTTGTGGCGTCCGGAGGTGGCCACTTGGACGATGTCATCTTCAAAAAGTGACCAAATAAATTGTAATGGATCCAATTTCAATAAAAAATCATTTATTATAAAAATTCACTGTTTGTCAAATTATTTAAAAAAAACTTCGGATATCACTATAAGATACACCCTTTAATAAGTAAAAATTTCAGGTGCAAAAACTAGAAATAATACTTTACATAAACAAATATAAATAGATACTTAGTGAAGGCTAAAAATACAATTTCGTTGAAAATTTCGAAATTAGCTTACAAAATTTGAGTAATAGTACAAATTTTATTAGTTTATCTCAAAGAGTTTCGATAATAGTGATCAAAAACCATCTTCAAGGGCGATACTTGAAAAGGTTCTAGCTCCCTTAGGATCCATTTGTCGACCTATCTTTATACAAAGTTTTATTTATATTCTTTAATGAAGGGCAATTGTAAATAGATTATAATGAAGTTTAAAATTATTATATAACTATCTTAAATTGCTTGAGAAAATCAGTTACAGTATACTAATGACCGAGTAGCAATAAGCCATCTGTTAAACACTGCAGGATTTATTTATAATACCGTAATATGAAATGGACCCATGACTGAACCTTGATGCAGAATAAATGTGTATTAGAAAAAAATGGTCCCTATTCTTTCTTACCTTAATTTTTCTATTTACATTCTCGACGAACTGTTGAAAATAGATGTATACATTCCACAGTATAGTTATAAAAGCTTCGCAATCTTCATTTCTGCCTAAAATAATGGCGTGACAGTGGAATACATAAAGCAGATCCAACCTTCCTTGGTATTCGGCTAGATTAGATTTGGTGATAAACGATTGTAAGGTTTCAATCAATTCCTTTTCACCAAATTGTTTCTGGTATATAAATTGGTGCATTATGTTATATAAGTACAGCCACCATTTTGATAAAGATCCATTTAATCTATAAGAAATGAAAGAAAGTATCATCATATAAGCTAACGTTTTCATGGACTAGTGGAGTAAAACACCATTAGGTGTCTAGAGCTCATAACCAAAAAAATTGGTACAATGTAAGTAAAAAAAAAAATTATAAAATTATTTGAAAAAATGAACACCCATTTTAAATTACGTCAAGCCGCCACCGTAAATAATACTTTTAATTACCTGTCATGAACTCTATTTAACAATTCCTTCCACATTGATAGTTCCAATTTTCTCCAATGTATAATTTGATTGGTGATATTTTGATGATGCTGACTCAAACTATTACCGGAATGGGCCACCTCTTCCCATTCGTGACATTTGTTGAGTAGAACCTCAAAACCAGTCAAAAACCTCGTAATAGGACTCGTTATGTCAAAATCATATATTCTGTCAATAACCGTAATAATCTGTAAGTAATTATACATTAGAATAACGGTTTATAAGTTTTTGTCTGTATAAAAAATCTGATAACCCAGCTAGCACATAACGTTGCCAAGCCTTTCGGCGATGTTGCATTAAGGGAACGTAATAACATTACTGTACAACGTAAATGCAACGTTCATAAGAAGTTGTTGAGGGAAATCAAAACCTCGCAAAACTTCTATTTGTTATTTACCTAATTAACCTACCGTAAACATTACAAATCTGAATTCAGAACGTTTAGTTTTATGTCAATTGTCACTTGTCAGTTTTTCTTGTCAATTGTCTTTTTTAATGGTTTATTTTTCGGCATCCAGAATTTATTTTATAAATAATTATTATTTATACATTCGAATAGATTTGGTAAGGGTCCTCTATAAAATAGATAACTATTTTCTAAACCATTGTCTTTGTTTCAGATTACAATGCCTGATGTAAATTTATTATTTCATTCATTAAGTATCTTTAGCAGTCGATGCCGATGACACCAAATAAAAAAAAAACTACAATAAAAACAAAGAATTGCAGATCAATCGTTGTAAACCAGAAGATAAACATTTAACCGAATGTCCGGCAACATTTTACACCAAATACTTATAAAAGGTAATTATACTTTATCGAACTAAAAATACATTTTAAAAATATTATTTTTTAGGTTTCCTTCGACATTCTAGGAATTTTAGAAGCAAAAGTAAATACTACAGAAGTGTAAAGAAGAATATAACACCTGAAGTTTTATAAAAAGTGAATCTATAGGTACATGATATGTCAGGTATATCAGAATTCAAGCAGTTCATTCTCTTCAACAGGCTAGATTGCCTGGAAATGCAACCATCAGTTCAAGTTAAAACCCAGCAGAAAAGTTGAGAGAAATCATAGATGATACTCTTGAGTATAATAGAATATCTTGCTAAAAAACACCAGTTGTTTTTTATAAAATCTACATATGGATGGCTCAATCAAATACTGCCACAACTAAAATACTATTATTTCGAGAAATTTCATTTTGAAATTTTGTAAGTCTCTATTATCATTATTTTGTTTTTGACATACTCTTTATATTTTATTTAAAAGCTTCGATATTTTGCTGTTAAATAAAATGATTACGATTATAAAAATGAGTTGTTGCATAGTTGTAAAAAATTTGGGTGTTTTTGAAGAAAATAACTCGAATTGAGGCAGTTTTAGACACAGTTTGTGGCTACATTTTGAATGATTTATATTTAAGGATATTTTTGTTTGTGGTGGTATTTAAAGTAAAACCGTAATGATATTTTGCATCCAATGTACCAAAAATGTAATTGCTTTGTTTTTTGACTTGTGGCGGTTTTTGATTGAGCCATCAATATATCTACTTTGGAAATCAAGCATAAAATTTGTAAAATTCAAACAAATTTCAATACACTAACATTGGTTGTTTTATTTAAAACAACAAAGTAAGGCATATTTTTTAATTTCTATATAATTTCCTTTAATTAATAATAGGTAAACAAGTTATCAATTTCTTTTTTATTCAATGTATTGAGAAGTAAAATCTTTTTATATAAAAATATAATTTATGCTCTTCTAATAAATTGTCGTATTTAGGTTACATTATAGCACTTTATAAATATCTATGCAAAAAAGTTAAAAGGCTTGATTTAAAAAAGATATATCTCTGCGTCTTAGGTAAGAAATCAGCGAACTTAGCTATCCTCTAGTAATCTAATATAATAATATGTACCTAGTCATTGTTGTATTCGTTTATTATTTTTCACCAATCTAGCTTTATCATCGTTCACCATTTAAGGTTTTAGTGAACCTTTGCAATATTGGTACCTTATTATACTATTTAGCTAATTTTGTCCAATCGTTCAGTGCTTTCTAGGTAGCTTCTTTTATCCCACATGTGTACTTGTGTTTGTGATATAAGGTGTGTTCTTTTATTCAATAATTGTTCCATCAGTGATTGATGTAATTTATCTATTCTGCAGTCGTTTTATATTTGAACTCTTATATTTTAGGTTAACTTAAATGATTGATTATCCTCACCATTCGTCTATGACATATCCATCGGCTTTTAAAGCCGATGGATGCCTTGGCTCATTGGTGAACGACCGGTTTGCTGCAAGCGCTGGATACAGCACTGAATAAAAGAACACGCCTACACCTACCTCTACTTTTGTGCTATTGGTACTTGATATCAAGAACATTTTAATAATAAATTTATATAAATATTTTGTTTCATTTGAAATTTTCATGTCTCGATTGAGATTTTACTATATCCTCAATTTCAGCCTCTCTGTATTACATTACACAATGTGTGTCCACGGATGGACTTAATTATACTTGTAAAAATATTTATTTTAAATTAAAGAAAAAGTTATTTTTCATAATTTCTCAATGTGAATCGAATTTATTTAACAAGCAAGAAATTATGAAGAATTACTTTTTTAATTTAAAATAAATATTTTCACAAGTATAGTTAAGCCCATCCGTGGACACACTGTATAATGCTGTAGATCTAATTCACATTATAACATCAATAGAACGTTTCAGAGCAACTTTCGGGGTAAGTACCGTAAAAGTGCTAGTGTGATGTTTTTCGAACTTCACTTTGTAACTTCTGTGAGATGTGCTATAAAAGTCTTGCCGTTGCGGACATTCGGTAGTTGCAGGGAGATAAGGGTTACATTTACATTACACTGCATGCGAGCTTAAAGAGCCTAAAATTGCAGCTTATTAACGTAGATGGGATGTTTTTGTGCTAGCTGGGAAGATATTTTACTAAATTTATTATTGTTATAGGTACAGTCGGCGCAACCCAAATGTGAACGCTTTTTAGTTGTCATGGGATTTTTTACTGAAACTCATTCCTGTAAGTCTGTATTTGGCCAGAGGTATTACAAAGAGAGGGGAAAATATTGGGGACAAAAATATTTTTAATTTTGATATAGTTTTCGACTTTTTTTATTCGACAATAATTTTTAAAAGCTGTCAAATTTGAATGCGACGAACAACTATGATGCAAAGTCTAAATTACACCATTAAAGAGCCCCGCAGTTTCCGTATGGCAAATGGCTTTCGGTCGAATCTCCTGAATTCTATATACAGAGTAGCCCATTAGTGTGTGAAAGTCTAGTATCTCGGTTGTTTTTTGAAATATGAGAAAATGTCGAATACAAAAGTTTTACGATTCGCAGGGACGTAAAAATATTTTCCAACATACAGGATGCCCCCAAAAAGCAACGCAACATTTAAATTATTATTTTCAAATGAAACACCCTATTTTATTTTTAAATTCTTCTAAAAAATCAAAGTATTTTTGTCTAAAATTCAATAGTTTTCAAGCTTTTGACATTTGAAAATTGACTTTTTCACACTTTGACAAGCTGTAGCACCCAAACGCTTGAAGTTAGAGCAAAACGGTTTTTTTAGTTATTTTAGTTTTTCATATCCTGTCCAGATATGCGAACTTTTGGATTATTTGAACATAAAAAAATCTAACTATCGGTTAAAATGGAACTGGCTCATTTCATTGCATATTTGTATAAAGTATAAAAAACTAAGATAGGGACTTGTAATCTGTTATACCATATTTTCATTCGCGTGGAAACTTTAGGTTGTCAAAGTGTGAAAAAATCAATTTTCAAATGTCAAAAATTTGAAAACAATTAAATTAGAGACATATGGTGTTTCAAACAAAAAACATATTTTTTACTGGAATTCAAAAATAAAATAAAATAAAATTTGAAAAAAATAAATTTTATATTGCCTTGCTTTTTGGAGGCACTCTTTATATTGGAAAATATTTTTACAATAGGCGCCTCCGTGAACTATAAAACGTGTGTATTTGCCCTTTTCTCGTATTTTCAAAAATAACCGAGATATTGCACATTCATAACCTTAATGGGCCACCCTGTAAAGTTCTTCTATGACTAGTTTTCGAGATACAGCGTGTTAAAATTGTGAATTCTCATAATTTTTTAAAACACAAACGTTATGATTCTGCTGAGATTCATAAATTTTAAAAGTTATCGTTTAGCTCTCTAGGATCCTTGTGGCTACCAAAATACGATACTAATCATTTTAAAAGACTACTGCAAAGGGTAATTTTTTAAATTAAAGTAGAACAATTGCATGTTTAAAAAATCATTTTACGCCCAAAATAATGATAAATGTATTATTTATATATGGTTATATAAGTGTGAATAAACGACACTTTATTATTATAAAAAATACAAATATACGGGGTGGGCCAAAAAGTTGGTTCAGTGAGTGTTGCTATTTTAAAATATCGTAATGGGCCCCAAGCAAGTACAACATCACATCAATAAAAATATATACTTCGAACATCACATACAGGGAGAGTAAAAAGTTGTATAAATTTAAAATATACAAAAATTGTCATTTTTCCAAAACTCTCTGTAGAGAGATAATTAATCGATAAAATGAAGTATGATTTTAATATATTAAATCAACAAGCTTATTTTCACAAGTTAATTTATGTTTCTATAGGTAGTTATTTTTGTAATAGACCAATTTTTTTATTGCTGTCTTCTGCAGATTTTACAATGAAAATACTGTCAAATTATTTGATACATTCTGTCATTCTGCAATGCAAACAAGATACAAAAACTAAGTTTTGTTCATAAGTTTACTTTATAATATACTGAAATCTGTCTTAATTCCAATATACAGGGAAACGAACGTCTTATGGTGACAGAAATATTAAAATATTGAAATAAATAGGAGTTAAAAATGACACTTGTTATCAATTCTGGATTTCCTACATAGTGGAGAACTATTAGTAACATTTTGAAAACCCTCTAAGGTAGGTACTAAAATTCATAGAATTGTTTTAAAAATAAAGAATTAACATACACATACCTAATAACAGTTGTGTTAAAAAAAACTGGTCATAGGAACATGGATTAACTTGTGAAAATAAACTTGTTAAGATTGTTGTTTAAGAGTCGATCTTTTCACCTCTGAGTAAAGTTACATG